GCTTGGGGCTGGTGCAGCACAGCTGAGGAGATCTTTGTCATTTGGCTTGGGTGGTTCTGTCACTCCCTGGGGAGGATGTGATGTCATCAGGACCCCAACATCAAGATGCATTCAGTTCAAGTCCAGAATCTGGCTCCCTTTAACCTCATCATTTCTTAGAAGTGCCTCAAGGATTTTTTCTGGATGCCTTCTCTAGAGATCCAGAGTGATGCTGCTCCTGGCTGAGGTAGGATCAGCCACCACAGCCTGCTGTTCCCTCCCCACAACTTCTCTGCAGAAGATAAAGAGCAGCCCCATCCTTTGGTGTGCAGACCCTAGAACGCTTTTCTTGACAGGACTTCTGCCTCCTTCTCTTGAGCACATTGATGGAGTGTGCATGGCAGAGCCCACAGTGACACAGGTGTTCCTGGTGTAGATCCACGTGAATTGTTATCTCCAAGCACAGATTTCTGGCACACAGATGGGTACTTCTCTATTGCTCTCATTGAACTTCTTTGTTCAGTTCATCTTTGCTCTTGCTCATCAAAAGCTTTTTCATTAAAGGTAGTTGGTCTGGGAACTGGAACCTGTTAAGACTGCCCCTTGCACAAGTGAGTGTTTTGTCTTTTCTTTGTTTTTAAAACTTGTAGTTCTCTTCTTTAACCACAGGGTCTTCTGCTCTTCAAAAAAATCCTTTTATGGTTTACCAGAGAGGGCCCTTGCTGCTGCCTCCAGGTGACCACTTACACATGGGGATGCATGCAGAGAAAGAATCATTCCACCAGAGTGCAAGGGGCTGGGCTGGTGTTTGATGGATTTCTTTCTTCTGGACTTTCCTGTCGACTGCTTTTCTGTATGAGGGGTTTTTTTAATTGCACCTTTGCAAAGAAGCTCCATTTCTTCCTCGTTTGTCAGAAGCCAGGTGCTGCTGAGTTTGATGCAGTTGCTGTTGGAGCTGCTACTCAGAGCATGAGATGAGCCAGCCATCTTCTCCTGGAGTGTCTGACCTTGGGGACAGTGCAGCACAGCTGAGATGATCTTTGTCACTTGGCTTGGGAGGCTGTGCTGCTCTCTGGGGGGATGTGATGGCATCAGGACCCTCTTGGGTAAAGTGACAATGCTGGGCATCTGTGGCAAAACGTTGAGGAAAAAAAGAATTTCTGTAGAAATTAGTTTCTAGTCCAGAATTTGTGATTTGCTTATTCTTTGTTGTATCTGCTTGTGGTTCTTTTGTCTCACCACAGGTTCCTTCTGTCCTGCCCCAAGCACTGCTGAGTGCTCCAGCGTCTTGCTGCTGCCTCTGGGGACCACTGGCACAGGGCAGTGGTTCCAGGATATTTCCTGGAACTTCGCACACACAGGCTTTCCTGTTGGTTATCTTTCTGTATAAAGTGTTTTGTTTAATTTATTTTTTTTTTACTAACCCTTTGCCAAGGGTTATTTATTCCTTGGTCTGACAGAATACCGGTGCTGCTCTTTGTGCTGCTACCAACAGCTGAGTTATGGAAGGTGGTTTAGGAGCTGTGTTTGTATCACTGGGCATCAAGGTGTGTTGGTGAGTGGGGAAAGCTGCTGCTGGGCTGCTGAGATGTGTGAGGGTCACTGGTGCTGTGTGGGCTGTGCCCTGCTGAGTGTGGGTTGGAGCCAGGAGCCATCCCAGAGCCTCCTGGGTTTGGCACTGGGCTTAAAAGTGATCAGGTGTGTTCTGAAATAACAAACAACCCCTCTGAAACAAATAAAAATTCCCAGAGCAAGCAGATCCTGGTTCTAGTTCTTCATCTGTTGGAAGAGGATTTGGGTGTGGGGGTCAGTAGCAGAGCAGGAGCACACTGCCCTTCTGCCTGGGCTACAGGAACGTGGTGTGATGTGTAACGTGAAAAAGTGGATAGGAGAATATGAGGAAAGACCTGTAGCTTTTTGGCAGAAACACTTTGAGTTACAGCTTTTTCAGTGAAAATTTTTATCTCACACTAATTCAATAATTAAATTGATGTTATAGCCTCAGTGTTGGGGCTTTTCTGTTTTTTTTTTTATCTTCATAGTGTGTGTAGTTCTGTGGAGTTGCCATCCAGTATTTGCCTGCTGTTGTTTAGATACACTTATCTACTCCTGATTTTTTTTGTATTTTCTTTAATTTTAATTTTTACAAACAAGTATGTTTGGAAGAACTTTGTTTTTATTTTATTTTCTCTCCTTCCCATCTTGTTTACAGAGGAGGAGACTATCAAAGTGTTTCTTCCACTCTTTTTTTGGCCAGGTTTTTATCAGCCCCGTGATAGGAATTCCAGAGTACCCACAGACTCTTTATCTCAGACACCTTCTTGGCAGTTTCCTGGGATGTGGGAACGTTACTGGGCCCTTCAGCAAATCCCTGTGAAGTTACCTTTAGTTGATTTTAGGCTGTGGTAAACTGGAAGCTGAAGTCTGCACCCTAACACTCAGAATAGTGTATTAATCACTGGCTTTTGCCTTAGCCAAGACTTTTTCAACCCCTTGTTTATTATCTTCCCTTAGGATTTTAGCGTTTCTAAGACTAGGAACCGAAGAAAGAAATAATGGTCATGAATCTGACTAGAATAATTTTATTTTACATCTCAGTTCTTAAATTGCAAGTATACGAAGGAAATATTTACATGAAGTACAGATCTGAAAAAACAGAACTTACAGTAGTCCATAGCATGTCCCCAAAATATCAGCATGTTAAACATCCTGCTTAACCAAACCAATTTTTTAAAAAATCACTCAGGCAATTCCCTCAGAAAGAAAGCAAATCCCACTTTCCTTACTCAGGCCAAACTCCTGCAGAAATGGGTGGATCAGGGGTAGCAGCAGAACAAGGACAGTGTAAGGGGAGCAGTGAACCTCAGCCCCCAGGACTGTAAAAACCTCAAAAGCAAGGCAATTAATCCATTAATTTAGCTTCTCAATGCAGTCTTGTATTCCATTACATGAAACAATAAAAGCCCTAGGAGAGAGGCACCACAACAAGAAGATGTGTTGAGTGAGGATGATTATTTTAAGGCTTTGCGTAGCAAACCCCACCTCTGGCTGCAGTTTGGGAGGAAATTGCACACAGCCTTGAGCAAAGGTCCAGCTCGTGTTCTTATTTCTCACCAGCTTCTCACTGAGCTGTGTCAGCATCAGGACTGGCCTGGCTCTTGTCCCTGGAGCAGAGGTGGCCTTTGGCATTGCCTGGAGGAGCTCAGGCTGGGGAAGGAGCTGTGCTTCACCTGCAGCTCCTCGTCCTGTGGCTGTGCTCCCTCCCGGCTCCCCAGCCTGCCAGGGCAGGGTGGCTGAGCTGCAGTGGCCTCGAGGATAACACAGGAGATGGATTCTGTGCTGGCAGCTCCCAGAGAAGATCCAGCAGCCAGGAGGAGCAGATGCTGCTCTGTGTTAGTTTGGTGTCCTGGGTTTCGTGGGGGGATTCCTGTTTGCGGGTCTGGAGAGAGAAGAGGGTTTGGTTTACTCAGATGGGAGAGGAGCAAGAAGGGAATTAAAGCTCCTTCAGCCTTGGGCTGCAGCCAGAGACCTCCAAGAGGAGGCTGCAAAATGTTCCTAAATCCTCTTTGTGCAAGTGAAAGGTCTGCCTCCATTTCAAGCAGTGACAGATAACAGAAGGATATTCTCAAGATATACTGATGGTCAATTCTTACATTAATTAAAATATAAAGTGGGCTTTAAAATTTACCTCTGACTTCTGCACACTCCTGCCTTCTCATTAAGCCTTTCTCTACATTCAGAAAAGAATGGAGAAGGAAAAGCTAAGGGTTTGTGGGTTGTGGTGTTTTTTTTTTTTTTTTTTTTTTTTTTTTTTTTGGGGGGTTTTTTTTTTTTTGTTTGCTTTTGTATAAAAAAATGAGAGCTGAAAGATTTATTTTATCTTAATAATTTCAGCAATACTATTAATTCTACAGGGTTTCCTTTTTTTTTTTTTTTTTTTTTTTTTTTTAATTAGAAGGGTGTTATAATTTCAGAGAGACTTTTTCTTGCTGGAATATGTAGCCTGCAGAGAAGTTTGAAAGGAGGATTTCCAGACAGCCAGTGTGCACCCAAAATGATACAAATGACTACTCTCCATCAACAGAATGTTTTATGCTGATCTAATGAGTTGGGGATTTGGCACCCCTTTTCAGGAAAGATTAATTGGTGGTGGAAAACGAATCCTGCTGCTGCTGCCAGCAAGGATGGCAGGCCAGATGCTGGGGTGCTTTGTAAGGGGGTGAATTGCACTGTTAACTTCCAAAGAGCTTCCTTTCACTAAGCAGGAGCTTCTCAGAGCAGCAGGAATTTCCTCTCTAAATCAAAAGTGAAATATGGTACAATAGCTAAAATCAGAGCTCTGTCAAGTTTAAGGCTGCTGAAGGAGAGCCACCCTTGATGTGATTTTCTGAGGCCCCTGTATTACAGCCACTGCATCAGGGCAAAGTGGGAGAGCTCTGCAGGGCATTTTTCTCCCCACAGAGACAGAACATCCTTGCACAGAGCTGGCAACAGGGGTTGAGATAAGTGAAAAATGCAAACATTCTCCTAAACAAGGCTGCATGAAGAGCTCTTCCTTATCATTTCTCCCCTGGAAAGGCAGACAAGGACCAGGAAAGTGCTGGGTATGATAAATATCCCCTGTGAAAATGACAGTCTGTTCCCTTTTACAGACAGTTCAAAAAATGCAACCTGCCTTGAAAGGAAAAATAAATTTGTAGGGATCCATTGCCTACTAATGTTGGGGAGGGACTGTATTAATTTGGAGAACTAAAAGGCAATTACCTCTTGTACTAAAAAACCCATGGATGTATAACAAGGAAGAGGAATTTATCTGATTTAAAAGATGCTTTGATTGGCAAAGAATGAGGCTCCAGAGGTGTGAACATGCTGTTCCAAAGTTTCTTGGCAACCCAGCTGTTCCAAGCACTAGCCCAGCCCTGGTTGCAGTAGTGGGGGCTTCTTGGTGTCCCTCTTGCCACAAGCCCCAGGGTGCACAAGGCTTGCAGAAGTGCAGAAGTGGTTTCCTTCAGAGCAGGAGAAGTGACTAAACCAGCTGCAGGGAGGTCAATTTTCAGAAGCAGAATGTGTGTGGGCAAAAAGCATTTCCTCTTCCAAACCAGGAAACTGCAATTCTCATTCTGATCGTGTTTTCCTGGTGACCCAGGGTGAGGGGTGGGTTGGGGAGGCAGGAGGGAAAGCATCAAGAAAAGGTTCCTGTGTGCCCTAGAAACTGGGCTACCCCTCAATCTATTCCTGTCTGCACTGGTGATTCTGGGGAGAGTCCTGTGAGGCTGCAGCAGCCTCCTGCTGCTGTTCCTTCCTGCCTGTTGGGGAAACAGAGGCAGGAAGCCTGGTGCTGTTGGCCCCAAAACAACAGAGGGGAATTGGGGTGCAGGAACTTATATGTAAACCATGGGGACATCTGAATATGCAGTAATGAAATTAATGAATGATTTGGGGAGGGGAAGGGATGAAATATGGTCTCCCCCAGGCTCAAGTTGGGAATGGTGCATTGGAAGCACAGAAATGTGGTTAGTTATGAGCACTGGGTGATGCACAAAGTTTTTGGGATGCCACAAACACCTCTTGTCTTTCTGTTTTGTATCTGCTGCTGGGTCAGAGCTGAGTGATTTGAATGACTTAATAGATGAAAAACCAAACAAAAAGCCCAAACAGACAAAAACCCCGAAACAAAACCAAAAAACAGAGAACAGGAGAACCCTCTGTTAGTTTTTGCCCGTAAGTCATTGCTCAGGCTCCTCCCAGTCATCTTCTATCAGATGAAGAAATTCTAGGTTGCTTTTTGGCACCTGCCCCCTTTATCTCTTGTGGGTGAGATGTTGCCAAGTTGAAGAGAAGAACGCCAGTGCCTGTCACTCACCTCTTACACCTGCATCTTCGTCTTCTGGTTTCTAGGAAAAGAGAGAAAATGTTTTAGTTCAAAGGTGCCAAGTGACAGCTCAAGAAAGAAACACTCCACTGACCTGGGGCTGGTGCTCCCCTGCAGCTGATATCTTTAATAATGGATAAACCCAGCCTGGGTTTGAGGAAATCCATGCCAGGGAGTGGTGCTGCAGCTCATGGTACCCCAGTAATCCATTTATATATTTTCATTAATAAATCTTTAAGGTGAGTAGCAGCAGCAGGGTCAGCCTGGGGACACTGAGGGTAAATTATTTCTGTTTGTTGTCCCCAGTGACTTTGGCACGTTGCTGAAAATCCCTCAGCAGCAATGATTTCTGCAGCAGGTGAGTGGCAGTGATGCCACGTGGCATGCACCCAAGGCAACCCTGCTCTTCCCCATTTTAGTCTCTGTGTTGTTACTTTGGGGTAGATTCAGCAAAATAAAATGCCCAAGTAAAAAATTTATTAAGGTAAAAATCCATCCTGAAGGTCTTGGAAACTGCTGCAGAAATTAACTGCAGCTGAGTGCTTTCCCTGATCATAAGGTGATGAAGTTTCTCATCTGGTTCCAGCTCAAGCTGCTGCTGAACTCTCAGGATTTTCTGGAGCATATTTACTCTGTTAGGTCAGAATGTTTCAGGCTCTGGGGCTTCAACCTCTGCACACCCATTTATGAGCCAAGATAGTTGATAGACTAAGTATTGTCTCTTATATATTTTTCTTCCTTGAAAATTTTTTCCAACATAAATAATTTTGCTGTGTGATTCTAAATTGATAATTCTTTCTCATCCTAATCCTACCGATGAGGATTAAAATACAGACACTGATTTTAACAGTGTCCTTGTCTTGCATTGGCTGTGCTCTGATTATTGGTGCCTCCCCAAAGTGCCAGAACATCCATCTCCCCGAGGGCAGGGCTGTGCTCTCAGGCCAGAGATGGATCTAGAGAGGGTTGTGGAGAGCCTTACGTTGACACAGCACGGTGGTGATCACCAGGGCGATGAGGAGCAGGATGCAGGCACCTGCCAAGGGCACCCAGATGAAGATGTGACAGGGGAAATTCAGATCTTCCTGCATTCTTCCCTCTGCAGGAAGAGAGAAGAGGGAATGTCCACCAAGTGCTCATGGCCGGTGTTACACACAGTTCTGGTGTCAGAATTTTCCTGGGGACTCGAGGGAGGATATGGGGGCAAAAGTCTTCTGATATTTCCTGCTGAGGTTAAAAGAAGCCCGAGCTCCCAAGGCTCTACCCCCCCTCCCCATATTCCTGGTGTGCCCAGGCATGCTTGTGCTTTTTATGTCTTATTTAGCCTTTCTTAGGTTAAATGAAATATTGGAATTTAATCCTCGCATCTGTGATAAAGAAGCTCTGTGGATCTTCTCTCTCCCTCCCAATCCCAAAATTCCTGCAGGATCCCCGTTGGCATCAATGGGGCAGAGTGCAGCCCTTCCCCTCTCCCTGCCTCCATTCAGGTTACCTGGATCTGGAGTCTTGAGGTT